GCTGTTTAGTAAAAAGAGACAGCTTGAGGGGGGCCAAGGGAAAGATAGGCACTTGGTGCGTGCCCCAAGCAAAACTTGTAAACGATTATCAATTTGTCCTAAATGGCAAATTATGTTTGTGGCCGCTGATAGATGTTGCCTGTACAGTGGTTACCCTTCATAAATACACTTCAAGGAATTGCAAGAAAATGGAAAAATTTAAAGACGCTTGTTATATTCTTAAGTGAAATAAGATTAAAGTTTTAACCTTTTTTTATTGTTAATTAAATATGAATTTAAGGGTTTTGAAATCTCATTTCAATCTCAAATTGTGGAAATCAAAATAAAAATTTTCTTCATGTGTATAATGAGATCACAAGGCACCAGACCAAAATTGCCGCATCGCACATTTGCGATAGGCAAAATGAAAAGCCGAACGAAACAAAAGAAAAACAAAGGTTGAGAGTGGAGTACGGTTCGTTCAGCCTAGCGAAAAGCCCAAAAATGGGTCATATTGGTAGGAAAACTAGTTAGAAATTCGAAGGAAAAGCTCGCTTGCCAACTGAAAATGGAGGATGGGTAATCATCGCTTGTAGATGACAATCGCATTTGATTTAAATACAACTTTGGTTAATTTATGTTGTCTACTGTCAACGCTCCGTTTTACTTCCTGTCGCCCTGCAATCTCTCTCTCTCTCTCCTTAAATTGTATCTCCCTCTCGGCTAAAAATCCCTAATATGGTTTTAAAGGCAACCAACTGAGGTTACTCAGAGGTTAGTCCAGGTAGAGCATCTAAACGGCAATGTAATGCATCTCCCAATTGGGAGGCAGGTGGATGCATCAAATAAGATATACTAAATTGGACAACCATAAGTGGAAATTATCGGCAGGAGAATGCAAAATAATATTAAATATTTTTTTGGTTTGATATTTCAACCAATTATTGATGGATTTTCCACTTAAATTAAGCCCAATTTTGGCAACTTTATCACAACTACAAAACTACTTGCCCCATTGCCCGTTGTTCAAAATCCGAATCGAAATCTCGGCCCAGACATTCTCACGCCAATTCGAAAAGAAACCAGATGCAATCGTGTTCACGTTAATTAAGCAATGCCATCGCTAAGAGCGAAGAACCGAAGAAAGACCTAGACAGCTACAAATTTCCATGTTACTTTGAGATTTTACAAATAGAAGTTTGGGGTTTTGTTGGTGGGGAAACCTCGCGCCAAATCAACAGCCGCAAATATGTCGAAAACAATAAATTGCGGAAGGAACTTAAAGGCAAACAAACACACACACATTGAAAAACAACCATTTGCACACATCCCACAGTAGTCCCTGCATACTCTTGGGCGCACTCAGATGAAAGGGTCGGCTGTCTGATTTTGAAGCGGATACGGATGAGGATTTCAATGCGGATCCTTGGGACAGCCAAATATTTGCCGCGAAACGCACTTTATTATTATTAACACACAGGCACACATACATACGTGTAATGAAAAGAAGAGACAGCCACATCTGTGTGGGATACTAAAATCAGAAAAAAAATTAGCCATCGTCGAGGGAAATCTCGGATGATAGTTAGCCAGTTTAAAGAAAACTTACCATTCAAGACTAACCAATGAGCAAAATTTAATAAATAATATTAAGAGATTTGTATATATTTCCCAATCTTTTAAAAAAGAAACACAACATCTATCCGCATAAGGGAGAGTATTAAGTTAGACTGTTAAAGTAATGCTGTTCACAAGTGGCTGCTCGTACCGATTTTCCCCCCTGTCCATCGGAAAACTCTTCAAATTAATCGCACCTTTTCCGCACATATATATGCTGCCTCACCCACCATACGAAATATACTCGAAAAGTCGCTCGAAATTCAGACCAAACATCCATGCAAACACATCCATGAATACAGAAACTTGATTTCATAGGCAAATTTATTTACTGAAGTATAATTTTCTATTTTATGTTTTGTGGGAGATGCCCCAAAAATAGTGCTAAGGAATGGGGTGTATAAAGATAGGGGAGTAGCTAACTCGCCCGGATAGGGTGAAAAACTAAAAATCAAATGCATTTGACAGCTGCTGCTTTTAATTTTTGCCAGCAGAAATACGCGTCGTCTTCGTCTTTGGTTATTTGTTTTGTGGATTTGAATGGGTTTTGCCTGCGAATTGCCCAAACGGATTGAATTGAATGATGGAGTAGGGGTTGTGTGGGTACGGGATTGATTGCTTTAAAGTTTTTGGGGCTTTCGTTTTGATTTCCAATCTGGGATTGTGGTGGGGAAACTCAAAACTGGGAGAAAGAAAAGGGTTTGTAGAAATTATAGGTTGATGGAAAATATATAAATACGTAAAAATTAATATTAAAGTATGCAAAAAAAATATATGTACAATCTGATGAGACTTTATAAACAATATTTACTGTACCAAAGCAATACTGACGCATCTAGCGGAATGCACTTGGGCGATTTGTCAAGTGCCACTCACTTATAGACAGTCACAATTTATAGCAGCTGCTCTAAGGCCATGTAATCTCATTCGGCATTACATTTGTGGTTTTGGGGGGTTGGGAAACCATCAGTTGCAGGTAAAAATCTCCGGAAAAATTGCAGGACGTTATGGTAAAAGGTGCAGGTGCGCTGCATAGTGAGCCTTAAAGTATGCAGTCCACGTTTGACAGACAGACGTACCTCACAGAGATACACAAATTCAACGTTTGAGGGAAGGAAAAAAAAAAAAAGCGCAGCACAATGGTAAAAATGGTAAAATGGTAAAATGGCACCGCAAGGATGCACACGTAGAACGCAGCTCATTGTCGGCCAGGTTTTGCCTCGTTCCTGACCGGAAAACAAAAAAGGGGCGGTAATGTTAAATAAAATGAAATAAAATAAAAGGAAAATAATATGGGATGAAATACCTGCGAGAGTGGCAAAAAAGGTGTCCTGCACAGGGACATAGGACTAATGTTATTTTTATATTACCCCAGCTGGCTACTTAACCCAACCAAAGTGAGATGGCACCTTTGTTTTTGGCCATGCATGTGTTTAATTTTAATGAAATTAACGCGTGTAATGGCAGCCACGCCCCCCGTCACTTTTTTTGGAGACGGGGCTTGGATGTTTCCGCCCACTACTGTCCTAATCTGTCTGTCTCTGCTCGCTTTTGATGTATGTCATTTTTTCGCTAACCAGAGTTTGGGGGGTCACAAACGTGTTAAATGTTAATTAAAAAGCACCAGCAGAACATACACAAAAAAGGACAAAAATAATAGAGAAAAATAAAAGAGGATGGGGCTAACAAAAAAAAAAAAAAAAGCAGCGCCCAAGAATGAAGGGCTTAGAAGATTTTGGCCAAGACACCAGGCTTAGTGCAAGTTGTGTGCATCCCTTTATTTTAACTTGGTTTTTTTTTCTGTTTTTTGTTTGTTCCCCTGGCAAATCCTTTGGCAAATAAACATAAACACTCCTAATTAAGAGATGGCTTGTAAACCGGGCAAGTCTTGGGCTAATTGGCCGCTGTTCTTTTTACCAGACGGCCGGCAAACAAAGAAACAGGTTAACAAGGCTCACACGCAGATAGAACCGCAGCTGACTCGAAATGTTTCCTCTCCTATCCAAAAAAGAAAAATATGTATATATAAATGTCATCTTAAATATAATTTTCGCGTATTTTTCCCTTACCCACGTGCCGTTTGTTTAACCCCTACTGTTGGCCTTTTTCTACTTTTTTTTGAGGCCTTGGTAAAAGAAAAGATTTGCGGAGCGGTCGCACATGTGAATTGCGAGTCCTTTTCGCTGATCTGCTGCCTACCTCTATTTGCATAATTTTTGGGCGCACTGCATCTGTCGGAAGTTGTCACTTAGACTCCGCGATTTTGGGGTCTTTTATGTTCGGTTGTAACGACTTATAGGGTAGGGTATTCACAAAAAGAAAATTATTTCTGCTCAAGAATATAAAAATATGATTTTTGTAAGGCATTTTATGGATATTTTTTTTACAATTTCAGTAAATATTTAAAATATTTATATAGAAGATACATTTTACTCAATTTTAACGGCTTATAAGTTAAAAAATTAGATTGAATAATAATATTTAGTATCAACGTTTAAAAAAAAAGTTCTCTAATAAATATTATTAAAACTTAAAAGGCTTAAAAGCCGTAAGAGCATCACTCGTCGTACCCTATGCTCATACAACCAGCCGCTGCCTCATCCCAACACATTTTTAGGAGGAAAAGCGAGCGGTGAAGTGATAAAGGGAACTTGCCACATTGCGCGTTTGTTGGCGGCCACAGATAAACGCATAAATGACGAGCTGAAATCTTCTTTATGTTCTGGAGGCTGTGTGTGTGTGTGTTTTTTTTTTTTGCCAAACCAAAGCATTTCTTAAACCTGCTTTTCCCCCCATCACCATCTTAAATGTTAAAAAGCATTTTTTGTTAAGCCTTTACCACCGAAAAAAAAGGAGAAAGAAACCGTCGCCTGACCTGAGTTACTTTGTGTAAATGTGTGTGCGGACGTTGGAAAAATTATAAGAATTTTCACTCAAGTTTGTGCGGCGTATTTTTTTTTTCACATTCGCCACATCTGCATGTTTCTTTGAGCCCTGTTTTTTGTTGTATGTACCTTTTTTTTTTTTAGCTTTGAGCCGCGTATTTATTTCGCTAAGAATGTGTAAATTTCTACTTTATGCAGAATCTGCGGCCACGACTTCTTAGCATATTTGTCAAAACCAAAAAGAGTGAAGAGTTGTTTTAAAAAACGAGATGAAAATGCCTTTGAAGTGCTTAATGTTTGACAAAACGTTAAAAGACAATATAATACAATTGCTTTTATTATAATTATTTAATAAATATATAGCATACAATAGTAAAAAATTGTCTTAATTTGGAATGGAATTTTTGCCTTTCTACAATGCGACTCAATGCGATGTAACTCAGCCAATAATGGATCGAAGAGGAAAGCCATACCTCGTTGTAATGGTTATTAATTGTCCACGAAAACTGCATTCAGAGCTTAAAATCCTTATTTTTATTTAAATTTGATGTATAATGTTTTTGTAATGATACTATAATTCCATGCAGAAGTTCAATATTCATTCTATACTGGTACGGTGCAAAATCGGATTTAACAAAACCGGTATCGCCGCAGTGAGTTGTGGGAATGTCGTATAGCTGTTACAAGAATAGGATATAAATTTATTATAGAATACTGCCAAAACACCAACCTTATAATTCGTTGTATTGTACAATATTTCAGCATTATAGTGTATGAAATATTGTTATGATACTATACTTCGACGCATAAGTTCAATGTTTATATTGCTAGTACGATGCAATATTGGTATCCACGCAGTAAAAATGTGGCAAAGCTGTTAAAAGAATATAGTATAAGATATAAAATGTAATTAGGGTTATACCAACCAACCTTGTAACTCGTTGCATTATGCAACATTCCGAATTGTATGATACTGTAATTCGAATCAAAGTAGAGTTTGGATACCTGGAATATTTGTAGCTCAGACTAAAACGATACAGTTTCATTATTATTGCTCATAACCAACCCTAACCGCAGGGTAATGTACGACATCCAACCACTGTTTTTAAATAAGAAACTTTGGTTAGTTGGAGTAAGAACCTAATTGTCTCCTATGGAGATCATAATTACCTACCTAATGTTTTCAGTTTCGACGGCACATTCCAGTTTTTCCGATTTTGCATTTTTGATTGGTGAAAGTAGTAGTATAGCCAATTAGTCTGAATAAAAGCCAAGTTAAATATAGTCTTATATAGTTTTAAGACTTTGTTAGGTAATCAGCATCAGCACCGAAAATTGCCGAGGTGTGAGATGTAGTGGTTTGTCCATAAAGTTTAGACGGATGGAGTCGTTTCATTAAAACTGCGGGCTATTCCACATGCAAAAACATCTTGTGTTCTGTGTTCTGTGTCCTTTAATCACAAATCTACAAATAATTCAAAATTGAAGCTTTTTTTAAAAAATTTCCCTTATGTTGTTTTTTTTTAACCTTTAAAATTAGTTTAAAACATTTTAATAACACTAAATTTTGACACAAGATTTTTCCAAAACAAATAAAAACCAGAGCTGTTGCCCCGTCAAGTCCGAAAACGAAACTGATTTTAGTGAGTACTTAGGGCCCTTAGGTTCAAACTCTATTTGACATTATTATCATGGCCCTGTCGATTAATATCATACTTACCTTGTTGTATGGTTTGACTTTGCAATAATCATAAGACATAGAAAGCTGTCCTTATTTTCAATGTGATGTGAATTTTATCTCAATATAACGATACTAAAAATTTTTACAAATAGCCAAAACACCAACTTTATTTAAAACAATTTTTTTTTTATATTAAAATACAACCTTTGTATGCTGTTAAAGCTAACCAAAAAGTAAAGCCACGTGACAAACATGTATTCCCTATTTTTTCTGGCATTTTCGTTTATGTTGAAGGGAAATCCACATTAATCGCATTGGTGTTTATTTAGCTTGTAATTACATTCATTTATTTACTTATTGACTGTGTCTGCGGCTCCGTTCTGGAATCCCCCCACGAATAACTAACAATATTCCAGAGAAATGGGCCCCCAACTTTGACCTTCGGTAAGCCACAAGGCGAACTGCCGGCCAACCCCCATTAAAAGCCAATATCTTTGAGCCCTGCCAGCCATCCTTAGTCCAAATAAGAAAAAATGTCTTTGAATGACTGACAATCAATTTCGCTTGGCTGCAGAATCCTCGAAGGAAGGACGAAGGACGATGGACGATTGCTCGTGTCGCCTTAACGAACGTTGAAAATTACTTTGACATAAGTTAATTAATCTTTGGCGCGCAAAGTTCGTGTTTGAAATATTGCATAGTCGTCGCTCTGTGTAGACTCGACCCAAAAAACAATACAAAGGGACTCCAACCGATGATAACCAGAAGAAGAAAGGAGAGAGACTCCTTTCCTTTCCCCCCCTCTCATAAAATGCCCATACCCCAAATCCTGGAATTTCAGGAAGAAACTGGCAGATGGCAGGTCGACTGTCTGAATGAAATATTTGTCAATGAGTATTGCTAATTTACAAGTTTGATTTGTTCTGTTCGGCGTGCACGAAGAGCCACTTCCTTTTTCCGCAGGACAAGCTACTCCTTGACATTCGCTCACGGTTTTGTTGTTACCAATGAGAAATTGCAGGGGCATTCTTTTGGCCAGCCAAACATAAATAAAATCCAACAGCCCTACTACTACTAGAGATGTAGGAAAATGTTATCCTTACAATCGGACTTACGGTTTTTCCTTTTATTTTGGGTCCAGGAAAACTCCGCGGTTCGGCAAACAAGGAAAATGAGGAAATACCAAATGGATTCAGTCTGTGATTGAGCGATTTAACATAATGTTGTTTTAGATGAAATAATATTGGCAATAGGAAGACAAGATAGATATAAAGACGACCATTGAACTCAAAACATTGGTGTTTTTTATTTAACTATTCGCAAAATTAAATATTAAGCAAATCTATGCATAACTGCCCCTGCCCCCCTTTCATTTCATTTTGATATCATTGAAATCATTGTCAGAGTCAATGAGCCTTGCCATATGTGTAGTCCTTGTGAAATCCTAGCCCAGCTTCATCCCTAGTCGCGACTTTTAATGGATCATCAATGTCCTTCTCCGATTTGTTTCGCCTCAGTGCCATCTGCGACGCCCAAGAGTCCTCCTGAGCAGTCATTTCTCATACAATTGCCACTGTCATTTCGTAGCCAACTTGTAATGGACTTTAATCAATTAATTTGAACACGCTTTTCATTTGGCAATCGGGTGGGGGGGGGGATAAGTTCGTAAAGCGGGGTATAGTAGAGATGGAGTTCGAATTGGAGAGACAATGGTAAAAGTAAAGTGTCTGCCTGGTGGCTGTCCACTTTCTTCTGCAACAAGGACGGAAATACATGGCAAGCCGATGCCAAAAATGTGGATGGGAAAGAAAAAGAATAAATATACACAACCAAACGAACCAGGCGTTGTGGAACCCGGTTGTTGTTCAGGGCCAAAGCCAAAAAAAAAAGAAAAGGATGGGAATAGGAAGGAGTTCGGGTTTAGCCAAAAGGACTCCGAGGCAGGACAACAAACGCACTTAAAACACAATGATGCTCATTGTGTCTGACAGGCAGACGAATGGGACCCATGCAGAAGGTCCACCCTTCACCACCCGAAACTCCCTGATCCATATTCTATATAGCAATAGCTATGGCTGCTGCTGATCCACCTAAGAAGACGAGAACGACGATGTGGCGTCATCTGGTTTGTGGCTCCTGCTTCGAAAAGACACTCAAAAAAAAAAATTAATAATTAAAACAAAGTTTTACTTTATCTTAGATTTAAGTCAGTTTCAAATGCCTGAATTACAGGGTTTTCTTGAATTTTTTCGAGTGTATTATAGATGGTCTTTAGGGTCTGAGAAGGTGATTCCTTCTCCTCCTTGCCCATCATTCGAGCACTTTGATTACGCATTGGCTTTGTTCCGGCTCAGACTTTGCTGGAGACTCTTTCCTTTTGGATTTTCTGCCTTTTCCATTCCATTCCCTGGCATTCCGTTCCTATTCCGTTGTCATTTTGGCACTTCAGTTTGATTTCGTTGCGTCCCGTATTTCTTTGGGCTTTTTTCTTGTTGTGTTTCTGGGTTTGTATTTGAGTTTGAGTCTCAGGATTTCAGGTTTGCCTTTTTGTGTCGCCGGCTGTTTTTGTCGCCTGGTCATTGTCCTGGCCTTTGTTGTCCTGTTGTTGGTCACGCACTTTTCCTGAAGTCAAGTAGAGGCGGGAAAATGGTCAACTGGGGAGTTTGGAAAATGAGTAGGAAAGAGGCCACTTGAGCGACGAATTTTGTACTTCATTGAAGACAAATTAGTGTCGATGAAGATCAACCCTGTGTTTGGATGGAGTGCCAGGGCTTTTTTTGAAGATGGGAAATTAAGAACAGAAAGATGGTGGGGGCTTTACATTTTTTATTAACGTATTCGAATTAATTTTAGACGCCTTTCTATGGGAATTTAGAATTCAGATAAGTCTATAGTGAATATTCATTGGAAGAATATCTTTTCTTTAACATTTTTATCGGTTAAAAAGGATTTTATTATTTTTTTTTATTATATCTTGCCATCTCTTTTTGGCTTATTTCCGCTTCCGTTTCGTTTTGGCTTTCACTCTTCCCTTCGAAAGGAAATCCCCCCCTGGCCCCTTTTTTGCCATGTCAACCAATTTCCAGTCACAATGACACTGAAAAGCGACCTCGGCAGTGGACTTTCTGTAAATGGCAAGAAATCAACGTCAGTGGGCGGGTAGAATCTGGTAGAGAGTGTGGCGAAGAATTGCATAGATAGAGAGAGAGAGAGAGAGAGTGAAGAAACCAAACGAAAGGCAGCTGAAAAAGAATTAAATCAAGAACTCATTAAGGCGCCGGATGCAATCACACTTTGCGCCATTCAGCGCGCCACTCTATCTCCACTATCCGTGTATGACCCCATCTCTTTCCACCCGCCATATAACCCTCTCTTTCGCGGTATATATATATATATATATACCTTCTCTCTCTTCCACACATTGAGCTGCGGAGTTGTCGCCGTTTGCCGTCTCCGTTTGCCGCAAAAGTGCGCACAATTATTCATTAACTTTGCACCGGAAAAGCAGAGAAATTAAAAACTGCCAACGCCAGGATAAATAGGGACAAAGTGCAGAAATTAAAAATATGAGAAATACTACGTCAGACAGGGACAGCGGTACAACGGTAGCTGGCAATGGGTAAGAATGAGAGGGAGACACTGAACACTGAACAAAAAAAATGAGTTGGTTAAGTAAGAAGTCCGTCAAAGGGGGGCCGCGGCCCCTGCTAGGCGGTCAGGGAACGAGGAGGCCGAGCAGGTCACAACTAATAAAACAAAAGTCAAAAGTCCTTAAGCGCAATGAAGAAGCTAAAATGCAACGCGGCAGCGGCAGCGGCAGCGTCAGCTTAAACTACAAAAAAATATATATGATAAAGGAAAAGAGGGCGGCGGAGGCTTAGGGATGCAGTACACTGAAAAAAAAGTAATACTTAAAGTTAAGTTAATATGCTTTAAGGACTTCTTAAATATGTTTTGAGAACTACTAAGCCTTTTTTTATCGGTCTGAAAAGTTCATACATACCCGGTACAGGCAAATTAAACTTACTTTTACTGTCTATAAAATCAATTTCACTTTACTATAATACTGTAATACTAGAAATATTTTTGTTTCGTGCATTGCAGTGGCAGTAAAAGGGCGGGCTGGCGGAAAAGGGTTAAGGCTGATGAGCACCTCCTACCGCCCACATTTTTTCAGTAGCCAGTAATGAGGCGCCCTACGCTGCGGGCAACCATAAAAATCTCAGGACCCCAAAACCACCCAACCTCCTCGTTCTGTTTCTTTTTTTTTTCTACAAAAATCCCCACTTTTGGTGGCCATTTGGCTGCCGTGAAGCATTTGGCGCAGTGGCGCCTGAAAGCATACAGCATACAGTTTTATTCGCTGCCAGGGAGTCAGTGCAAGGGGTTAAGGATTGGTGGTTGAGAGGGTTGTAGGTTTGGTAAAAAAAAAAAAGGGAATGTAGAGGGTGTAGGGTCTTCTGGAGAATGCTGGCCCAGCATATCCGCTCCACGTCACTTGTGATAATTGCGTGCAACCGGTCGCGCCTTGTGATTGTGACATCGCCTCGCCACCCACCTCTCCTCCTCCTTTCTCATCCAACCGCCCGCCTACCTCTTTTCTAAGAAACTCAAAATCTGGCCACGCCCCGCCATCCTCTCTTTGGCCCACACATTTGAAGCCCCTTTGTGCATATCAGGCAACCGGATCAGGCAGTAGAAAAAGCCAACGTCACACAGCGAACAAAAAATATAAGTAAAACAAAGTAAAAACAAAAATAAAAAAAATAAAGAAAATCAAAATAAAAAATATGAGGAAAACTGCAAGGAAAAAGGAGCAAAAAAAAAAAAAGGAAAAATTTGTGAGGCTGGGAAAGCAAATGCGAAATAAAAATTCATAATTACGTTTACGCCGGTAATTAAAAATGATTGTAATACACACGCAATGCCCAGCAGTTGGTGGACACTTTGGTCGGGCCACGCCCACTGAAACCACCACCCC